CCCTGGCTGGTGTCTGAATTCACGCTTGGGTGGGTGACGACCCAATCACCATCAATCTGCAAACAAAATCAATTACCGTAACTTGCATCCGCCCATCCCAGTTTTGCTGGTAGGGCCACACAAATGAATGCTGGTCCTCTTTCACACCACTGCCAAGTACTTTGAGACAACAGGAACTCCACCCCATACCTCACCCTGAGTTCCCTGCGCAGCTCCTGTCTTGTGCCAGGCTGGGTGGCATTTGTGGTGCATGTTTTACTGGAAGAGCCTTGTTAATTTGAAATGCATCTTCATGGGGCTGAGTTTATCTCTGTATCACTGATGAACCCAGCCTAATTCCATCTTAAGATTGGGAGCCATTTTGTCACAAAGTCACAAAAAGTTCATTTCTGTTTTACTATAAAATACTAAGATTTCTATTTGGCCTGACTGTGTATTTTGATGATTTAAAAACTTGTTTGGAATTCTTGCCTGTGCTCTGAACTCACCCATGTGTCGCTCTCCTTGGCCAGATAACAACACTTCCTAAAATATTAGTGGTCCTTCTGGCTCTCTCTGCCCAGATAACAACCCTCCCTAAAACGTCAGTGGCGCCTCATAAATTCTGATGTTGGAATCTTAACTTACTCCCTACCTTGAAATGTTAAGTCCTGTAGATCATGCTTTTGTATCTGCCTTTGTATTACACTTGCCAGAACCCTGTTATCTATAAGTTCCCAAGACATCCCCCTTTGTAACTTTTTGTGCTATAAAAACCTTTGTTCTCCTGAGAGTTGTTGCTGTCCTCTGGCCCTGCATTCTGGGCGAGGAAGTCGCTGGCCAGCTCTCTTGTGTACACAATATAAACTTGCTTTGATTTAAAATTGGAGTTGGTGGTTCTTTTCTTTGCATCGTGGCTCAACACAACCAAAGGAAGAATTTGCTAAGCACGTTCGTTGTCTAAGATTGTAGAGCAGTGTTTTAGCTTCTTAGGAGAAGTAAGTTTTCAAATGCCCTCAGTCCTTCAGAAAAATGGCCATATCAGTTACAAATCCATCCTTCCTCTTCACTAAGAGACTAAAAGGTCACCTCCAGGCAACTATTAGTGACTTCTAGTTGCTGTTTAAATAAACACCCTTGCTGGCAGGTGTGCTGATAATGCCAAGGTTGCGGGTTCGTTCCCTGTACGGGCCACCAAATGCTGCAGTCTGGCTGGGCACAATTCAGGAGCCACTTGTCAAAAGAAACAAACTTCATTTTTAGAACCACACAGGCCAAACAAAACAGCTCCTCAGGAAAAACCCTCAGAGCCCAACTGCCACCACCCACTTCCCACAAGCCTCTCTCACAACCACCAGCCTCTCCACCTCCCACAATCCTCCTGCTCTTGAGGCCGATTGGCTGGATTGTGTGGGTGGAGCCAAAAAAGTCCCCCAATGAGCAGCTCCATGGTCTGAAAGGGCAGGGAAACAGCCCAATGAGCATCACCACAGAGGAGCCAATCAGCTAGATGTTGCTAGGGCCGCTGTGAGCCAATCATCAGCTGGCAGTCTGAAAGGGCGGGAAAACAGCTCAATGAGCATCTCCAATGAGCATCACCACAGAGGAGCCAATCAGCTAGATGTTGCTGGGGCCGCTGTGAGCCAATCATCAGCCAGCAGCTGGAAGTTTGCTGGCAGCTGGAAGTTTGCTGGGGCCCCTTCGGCTGTGGCTCTCAACACACCCTTAAATGTATTTCCTAAGAGCTTTTATTCCCAGGAACAGAGGGTAGGAAGGTGTGTGTGTGTGTTGATGAGTTTGTTGTAGGGAATGGTTAGGAGAAGGAAGTGGCTTCCTTGAGTTTGGTCAGGGAGATGGAGAATACCTACTCAACTGCCTACCAGGCAGGTCATCTAAGTGTGCCCAGTGGGCTGGGAGTACTTAGGGCAAAGGGGGCACTGGTAATGAGCTAGGGAATCTATACCCTCCCCAGCCATCTACTTTAAACAAAATTTTTCCATTTTTTTAATTGGTGTGTTACAGTTGTCCATAATGGTGGGATTTGTTACGTATTTGTGCATGCGCACAGAATAACAAAATAATTTGGCCCATGTCACTCCCCACCCTCCTCCCTCCCCCAGTCCCTTTCTTCCACTGTAATGATCTTAGATTTTCACGAGATCCACCCCTGCCACATTTCTTTTCCTTTCTAGCTTCTACATATGAGAGAAAAACACATGACCCTTGACCTTCTGATTTTGCCAGCCATCTACTTTGGCAAAAGGAGCTGGATTTTATTGGCAGATAGCCATTTTGTGATGTTTTTCTTAATTGTTGAGTTATGAAATGCCTAAGAGGGGTGTGACTGGGTGAGCTCATTTGAGACTCAGGGAGATGCTAACAAGATCTGAAAGCCGAATGGGGAGATCAGCCCACTTAAAAAAACACAGCAAGCGGGTGTGGTGGCGCACACCTGTAATACCAGCTCCTCAGGAGGCTGAAGCAGGAGAATCACAACATTTGAGGCCAGCCTTGGCAACTTAGTCTCAAAAACTAGAAAGGATTGGCTGGGGACATCGTTCTGAGGTCGGGCAGTTCGTAGGCATGAAGTCCTTACGTTCAATCTCTAGTCCTGCAAAAACCCAAACAAAACTACACAACAACAACAAAACCACAACAAAGTTTATTACCCACCTTATTGAAAGGTGGGTCTGTGCCTAGTGGAGGGGCTGGTTGAGGCAGAGAGCAATGTGCTCGTGTAGAGTGAGTAATGGGAGGAAATTTGAGGGGTGGGTGTTCTGAGGATGGAAGACAAGTGTGACTGAATGGGTCTAATGAGAGCGTAATGAGAAATAGGGAGGGTGAAAAAGCTCTCTTGGGTCTCAGGTGAGCTATTGAGATGCACTAATGCAAGGTGGAAGGTGCTTGATTTGAAAGGATGAAGGACCAGAAGGAAGGACATAATCTGACAATCAAAGGAGCCCAATGCAGAGAGGAGTGCGATCAAGAGGGCCAAGGGCATAATGAAAAAAATAAACCCCAGGCTATAACTAACTACCATCTTAGAAAAGACATTGGTGTCTTGAGTCTTTGAGCTGCAGCTTCCATAAAGGATACAAATGATAAAGCACCCGTTCTTCCTCTTCTCTCTGCTCAGTGGCAGAGAAAACGGACTACTGTGCAGTGTGAGCATTTAGGTGACCAACTCTTGACCTGGTGGACCATGTAGGAGCGTAGTTGTGAAAGATTCTGGAAAGCAGGTGGGCTCAATCTGGACTTCAGTGACTGAATTCAACACCCTGGTCCTGGAAACACCATCTTCTGTACCCACCTTCCCTCCATCATAGCCACTTGCTGAAGGCCTGGCTTAGGGACATTTTTTTTTTTAAGATAAACACAATACTTTTATTTTATTTATGTGGTGCTGAGAATCCAGTACCTCACAGGTGCTAGGCAAGCACTCTACTGCTGAGCCACAACCCCAGCCCGACTCAGGGATCTTTAACTGTCACCTTGAGCCCTGCTTACTTCAGTGGCTCTGCTGTCCAAACTACCAGTGCTCCAGTCGCTAGGATCATCCCTTGCTGATCTAGTAATTGGCCTTATGTTATTAATGATGAAACAGTTGCAACCTCATCTAGGCAATAAGGCTTTCAGTCAGTGGTGGAAAATTCTAGGCAAAGAGAGCTCTATCTAAATCACCATTTTAGTAAAAAGGGGAAAGTTTTAAAGACTCTGGAGCTTAGTTTAAGCCGGTTTCCCCCTGCCAGGAAGCTCTGTAGTCAATGAACTTGTCAATAATGCTCAGGTATCTAGACTTGGGTAAGTGCCCTTGCACCTTGGTTTTTATTGAACGCTAATGCTGTGATTATCCTGTTAACCTATTCTCTAAACCCTGCTTCTAATGTGATCCCAAGATCACCTGGGAACTTGGAGAATATTTAAATACTAGGCGTCTACTCCATACCTGTTAAATCACATCTGCTGGGACGCAGCCAAGTGACTTGTGTTTAACAAACTCCCCAGGTGGTTCTGATCCAAGCTCAAGTTTGGGAGTCACTGTTCTAAAATACACAGTAAAGAGTGAAAAGCTGAGATAGTAAGCAGAGTGGACCAGCTCATTATGGTTCTTCTATCCCACTTGGCTACAAAGTCCCACATCAAGACTCTGTTCTGAAAAACAGTACAAAGCCTTATCGTATTGGAGATGGAGGACAAAGGAAGACATGACAATATGAGTGTCTACAGTTTGGCAGTCACAGGCATCTCACATACCATTTAATCTTTGCAACAATGAGGCTGTCACTCATTTACTAGAGGAGGAAAGCTCAAGGATGCAGACTATGGGTATCTTCCCCCACGAACTCCCTACCCACGTGCCATGCCCTTCAGAAACAACCTCCAAAACCTCCAAACCATGTTAAGAATCATGGTCTAAACAGACCTTTTTAGCTTGTCAATCAGAATCTTTTGGCATGCAACCTCATCCTAGTCTTCTATTTTTACAATTTGTAGAATTGTTGAACCAAATAAATGGAAGAAACTACTGTCAACTCTTGATTAGCTGCACCACTGAAGAGGAACAGTGACGTGGTGGATTTAAAGAAAAAATCGGCTGTTTGACTTTAGAATGTATTGATTTTTTTTAGTAGATTAACTTTTCTAATTATATTTTTCACAGTCTAATATTAATAGGCATTTGTATTCCCTGAGCACACAATATTTGACATTGAGAGCTGGGAGATGCAGTAGGCAGTTCAAAAATGTGCTGGTCTGGGAGAATGACAATGTTGTTATGGAAAATCTACACATGTATAATGAAGAGGCTACTAATCATAAAGTGCTCTGCAAATCCTAAATCATAAACAGAAAATGCAAAATGGAAACTCTCTGTGGACATATGAACAGAGTAAAATTCTAAATTGGACAAACTTTTAAGAATCATCTTAGTGTTAATCAAACTTGATGAAAAACTTAGGATGCAAAGAGGGTCAATGAATTTTTCTTTCAGGGAAGAAAACCTTAAGCAATAACACCAAGCATTTTAAAAGAGTGTTTAAAATGAATTTTATTGTTTGAATTTTACAAGTAGTCTTTAGAGGCTTTAAACAAGAACTCTTGCAAAACTCTAATAAATAGCTTGCCCCAAGTCCCCAAAGGAAATGGAAAACAAAATGAAAACAAAACTCAGAAGGATAAGCAAGACTTCAGAATGCTTGGATGTTAGCAATATTTCTCATTTACAAAGAGATATCAGGCAATGTACAATCTCCTTTATACAAGTTAAAGAGAGAAAGAGACAACTGAAATCTTTACAAAGCACTCCGAAATCTTCCTATTTCCATAATAGAAATGTTACCAGGAAAAAAAAAAAAAGTCCCATGGAGAAACCACAATCATGAATGAAACTATAGCATAAAAATCTGGTAGTGGGTATGGCGGGGAGAAAGAGAATCCATCCTGTTTCTTTCAGGGATGGAATAAGGAATGAGTTCATATCACTCAGGGCAGGGAACTTCCAAGCATATGCCACTAGACTGCTGAATGTCCCCTTAGGCCAGAGTCACCCCTAAAGAGGCAAGGGGTCAGTTTAGTGGCAATTATGAAGGCAAGAAACAAGGGGGTGTTCTTGGGTCAGTCAACACTGGTTGGCCTGTCTGTGTTCTGCAGCGCTGACTGCCCAGGGGCTCACAGCAGCCTGCACCACTAGACAGGAAAAAAAGCACATTAGGAATTTCTGCAGCAGAATCCTCTGGATGACCACAAAAAGATGCAGAAAATGCAGTGCTTAGATTTCACACTGGGACATGCAGATTTCAAAAGCCCATTCTATTACAGTCGGTGCTCCTAACAAGCAAGGATTAAAATTCATGATTTAACATTCACTGTTAGCTTTTCCTAATTACAAACACTGGTGAAGTCTTGCTTTGGAGAGGAAGATTTATTAATATAGTCATTTTTAGCAAGCTTAAAAATTTTTTTCTACATCTTTAGCTTTAAAAATCTCAAACAAAAACTATGTATATTTTTGACCAAAATGCATACAAGTATGGTTTTAGTTGGCAGAATTAGGAAACCAATGAATGTTTGGAGCCAGGGAACTATAGAGAGTTAATTCCAATTTAGTGGGACTTACTTAAGCCAAACAAAAAAGAGTCCTAGCAGAATGGTGCACCTGAAACCATCTCCCTGGGAAAGAAAGAGCAGGAAGTGACATCACAATGAAGGATCACAGGGGTGGGCCCTGCAGGCCTGATGATGTCCCTCTCTGGTTTACTGACTTGCTGTATAAAATGACCCCAATTTGGCTGGTCTCTGAAAAGGACAAACAGCACCAGCTCACATACAAGTCCTTCAAGGGAGGGGGGGCCTTTACTCAAAGCTCCTCCCTCTCCAGGCATTTTTAGGAAAGAAGTTAAGGAAACACCCCTCCCCACTCCCCAAATAAACGAGTTAAAAAAACTTGGCTTTCTTAGGAACAATGACACTTGTTAGATTACAGGGAAAGCTTGGGTTACCTGAAATAGATAAGAAAGCTGACGGGAATAGAGGCAGATGGCCAGGAGGCACCCTGGTCCTAGGCCCAGTTTCTGTTTAAATACATAACAGATAAAGATATTGTGCAAAAAAATAAAGACATTCACATTTTAGCAGTTAAACTTTTATTTTACTTTTTAAAATTTTTATTTACTTATTTTTTTCTTTTCTACAAAAGGCAGATAATGATTGTTGATCTGCAAATGTTGTGTTGTGCACTCCTGAAGGGGGCGGGTGGGAGGCTGGGGAAGGTGCTGAGAATGCTCCTAAAGGCGTGAGTGAGGGGCTTCAGGGAACCCCCAGAGAGCACGCCCTGCGCCCTCCTCCTCTCCCGCAGCCGTCCCTAGCTCATGTCTATGGTGTTGAAGACCCACTCCGTGAACTTCTTCAGCTTGTCTGAGGCGTTCTGGGACTCCTCCTGCAGCCTCAGGTTGTCTTCCCGCAAGTGCTGCACTTCTGCCTGCAGGTGGGCTTTGTCCTCCTTTTCCTGGAGATGGAGCAAGTAGAGGAGAACTAGCAAGGGGGCCCTACCTGGCTTGGGCTGGGGAGGAGGAGCCAGAGGTCATTTTATCTACCCATTTCCATTCTTTATCCCACTAAACCCTGCATATATGGCCTCTGTCCTGGGGCTAAGCCATTCTATGCTCAGGGAAGAGAGCTTCCAGAGAGCTTCAAATCTACAGTATTAGCTTGGAATGGAAATATATTGATGTGTATTTAAGACTCTGTTAATAAGAACTAACCTGAATTTTACGTCATTGTTTTTATGGCTACTGTCTTGACCAAGTTTAAGACACCCAAGAAACAAAATGGCATTCAGTTCTCCTAGTGTGAAAGCCCTAAAAACAAGGGCCACATGGGAGTCTGGACTGACACATCGCACAAGGGGTGGGAGGCCAGGAGAGGCCTGGTGGGGTGGGGAGCTGAAGTGCAAAGGCCTTCCCCCAAATGGGAACCGCTTTTCTGATGTGTGACAGTGAAGGCCTTCTTGCAGAATGTCAGCAGGACCTGAGCTCAAAGCTACCCCTCAGCGTGTGCACAGAAAACTGTGCACAGAAAACTGTGCAGTAACACCATTTTAAGGGCTCTCACAGTGCTAGGGCAATTTGATCCCACAGACAGGCAACTTGCTCTGAGAGGAATGTTTACCTTCTTCAGATCCTCGCGAAGCATCTTCAGCATACCTTCCAACTGGTCCACTTTAGAAGCCAGGGTGGGAGAGGAATCCTTACTACTGGGAATGAGAAACAAAAGGCTGCATTGGCAGGAGCCTCCAAGGCTGGGTCTCCGACCAGCCCAAGGCTGAGAAGGCTGTATTCATTTGAAAAAATGGATTTCAAGTGAAATTACTCAACGTGATAACCCAATGTGCAGTTTCACTTTAAAAAAAGAAAATGATGATCTTAACAAAAGGTGTCACAGGCTTGAAATACAGCTAATCAATAGCTTCCTTTGTTAAAGATGCTGCATCTACTGAAAAAAAGAATGTGACAATAAGCAAAAAAGGCCTCTCTGGCAGCACAAGAGGTACTTAATGGCAGATCCACAGTCACATGGCATAGTGATTCCTGAGGGATCTCTTCTGGGGGCTCAGGGAAGAGATACTCCTGTGGGGGTGGAGTGGGGCTGACGCAGGATCTGTTTGGGGCCACTAGCACAGGACAGGTTGCTGGTTCCCCCCAAAATGGGCTGTAGTCACAAGCGTGGCTGGAGCTAAGTCATCGTGCCCACGTCTTAAACACTAATCTAAGCATCTTAAAATATTTGAAAAATAAGACTACATGTTTTAAAAGCTTGTCAAAGCTTAATGTCTTACATTCTGTGCCATTATGATCACAGTTTTCTTACGTTCTATTGTGTGGGGCGGGTACTAACAGGTGCTGAAGGACGGAGGCCACCAGCCTCCAGTGGGACTCCACAGCCAGATATGCTCCCACCCAGGGCCAGGAACTCTATCAGCTTCCTGCCTAACCACCTCTACCTGAATCCAAGCTGCCGACAGCTTCCTGAACAAGTTCAGCTAAGTAACACGATCTCAGTCACACCACAGAGACTGCTGGAAAAACACACACCTCCTCTTTCCAGAGGCCAAGAGGGAAGAGATGGCGGCTCTGTATTTTCTCAATCATGGAATAAAAGGCATTCTTTACTTCAAAGTTCAAGCTTGCGATACCTCCCTAAAATGAACTGTCATTCTTTCTTCTCATTCTAAGTCTACAACAGCTCCAAAGAAAATCCAGAGTGGCATGGAGGATGAAAAGGCTGCTGGCCAATGAATGATAATGTCCTCTAGACTTCTAAGGCAGGACAACCAACTAAAGCTGACAACATATGGCTTTGAAAAGAAAAGCGGTTAGCAGTAATCCACAACATAATGTGGTACAACAGGCAGGCCAGTTTGGGGGCAGGTGGAAGGTCAAAGACATAGTAGGATAAGACACTGGCAGATGGGGAAAGAAATGTCCTCACAAAGCCACTGCAGGCTGTCAGGCTGATGAAACTCTCAGGAGCCTACCTGGACTTGTACAGATTCTTCAAAATGTCTGTGAGTGCACTGGTAGCATTTAAAACATATAGAAATACAATTACATTTGCATCTGTTTAGTCTATGAGAAACAAAGAGCCAATTCTTTATGATTTGATAATTCCATTCTTTCCCAGGAAAACAGTTTTATACTTCTCTTTGTTAGAGACCTCATCCTAAGAAGGCACATTTTTGTCTTTCCTTTAACTCTACTTTTCAAAAAAATTTTATAAGTTTTCAGTAGCTAAACTCACTGTCATTCAGCTCACTCCTGCTGTCCCAATAAGACTGAAAGTGGCATCTATCTGTCACACTCAGAACTAACGATCCATTGCTCTTACTACACTTTCTTGGCTAAGAGCCTGTCCTTGCAGGCTGTTCAGAGAGGTCCTCAAGCTGCGTCCCATAGGCCATCAGCAGGATCTGTATCAACCTTGCTTTTCCTGCTTCTTCCCACTTCTGACCCTGTTTTTTTTTTTTTTTTTTTTTTTATAGATATCTGGATTCTTACTCATCCTCTACACAATCAACGCGCCATATGAAAGTAAGAGGAAAACAGAAAATTCGGTCTGCACACAGTTGAACAGAAGTTAATGTGCATGCTCTCGACACAGAGGAAACTCTGGATCTCTGTTGCTGCTTTTTTACTATCTTATTTTATACGTGTCCTTAACTATCCTGGTGACCCTGCTTCTAAGCACAGGAGATTTAAGGCACACATGGGAAGCTGCTGAGATGGGCACACAGGCAATGTGGCAGTAATGGCAGTGGGGAAGACTACAGACCCAGACTCCAGGACCCCCAGCACAGGGCCCAGGACATGCAGTGCAGGTGATCTCTCTCACCTGACCTGAAGGTGTGAACAAATGATGGCGAATGGAATACTTAATATTCATAATTATGACCTTAAGTTGGTTAAGAACAGTTAAACTGTGTTTGTACTGCTTAGTTATAAGTGTTCTAACTAACTGTGGTAATGTGCTCCATTCAGCTAATCCAGGTGGCTTATGCTCCTCCTTTGCCACATCCGTCACTATCAGGGGGTGACACATAGTGCAGAGTGGTTCCCTCACCACTAGGCCACCAACCTGCTGTATGATTTCATCTGGGCCAGAGCCTGGTCATCGAGCTGGTCACTGTTGGATGCTGCACTCAAGGGCCGATGGTTTTCATCACTAGCAGCAAAAAATGAGGCTCTCTGGACTGAAAGGAGATAAGAAACCATTGAGCACTTTGGAACCATATGCCTGAGTCCTATGTGTAAAATGTCAGCAAATGGTCTATGAGGGCAATCAAGTTTAATCAATATATAGGACTGTATTTGAAATCTTATTTCTCAACCATTATAATGGAAAATATCACTGTTTTAGCTATAAGAGGATAGTAACATTATAACTTCTCTTTAAAAAGTACCTACTATGAATCAATTTCGAATGCCCACCTTTCCCTGCTCATCAAAGTGGCATTCTAGTAAATGTTTCCCTGGAAAGAGGCCTTGCGCCAAATTTCCAGACCAAGGCTTTTTGTACCATTTAGTATGATATAAATGCATTAAAGACCTAGATTTAAACTTCTTGAAACTTCTTACGAGTATGTTTTCCACAAGATGCCTGGCCACTCTGGTGGCCTTTAGTCCATACCACCTGTGTTTCAAAATATCCCAACTTAAAATTTATACGAAGATAACCAATAATTGAAAAATCAGGTTAGTACTGGGGAATTTCCAGCAGCTAAATAATATGCAGGAGGCAGTGGGAGCAGCTATGGATCACTCCACAGTTGTTTGGCTTCTGATTCTAAGCCTTGTAAATTTCCACCCCAAATTGAAACCTGATGGAATAGGAACTTTAATTCTCCCAAATAAGAACAGTAAAAAAATCATCTGCTATCATAATTTTATAAAGAATTATTTTAGCACCCCAAATTGTGGAGTGACATTCTTAGAATCAAATCACTCTTTACTCAAGAATGAACAGTAGACAGCCTTGGGCAGACACTTCACTGCATTACTTTTTATTAAGGTTTTCTCATTCCAGCAGACCAGTCCCAGTCTGAGGATCTGCATTTAAGAACCACCATCCTAAAGCAAGCACAGAGCCAGCAGGTTGGCAAAGGAACAATGCAGTACTCTGGACTTGGTGCGGTGAGTGAGAAGGGCAAAGGAAGCATCAGGACTTGATGGGGCTGGGCACGGCCAAGCAGGACACTCATTCTGATACACCCAACTGTGCAGTTTGCAGCGACATCTTTACAACATGATATAAAGACCCTCTGAATAAATATTCTTTCCAGTCAAGGGAGAGCTGGGATTCCTCTACCCTTTGCCCATCCTACATGTGGAGATGGCGAGACATCCATGTTATGAATTCCTTGTACAGGAAACAGCAGGTTCTATCTGATTAATAAAGCATGTGCCCAGCTCAAGGTCTGGCCCTATAGGGTGTTCAAAAGCCATTAGCTCCCTGGGCTGTGGTTGTGCCGGTGAGGTACATGTGCTGTCAGTGTATCCAAGGCAACGGGATAAACAGACTTGATCACAACTCTGAACACAGCAGCATGGCCCTCAGGGTCCCAGGTTGCCCTGCACTCACCCTCATAGGCTTTGGCAGCATCTACCAAGTTGGACCAGTCCAAATCTGCAGCAGTGTCAGGCAGGGGCATAAGGCCGGGGTCTGGCATAGGTTGCCTTCGGGTCTCCTGGATGTCAGTGAGAGAGCTGTCTGAGGCCGAGAACTCTCCTGCAAAAGGGGACAAGGATCAGAATAGTGCCTGTGTCCACAGGAGAACCACTCGTGAACTTACCCACTTTCCATTAACAAATAATTTGTAAGCCACTCATTACCAGAATCAATGCCTAATCTACCAGGCTGCCAGTGGCCACCCTAAACCTGGCCTAAAATATGAACGAGCTTCTTCCAGTCTCTCTTCTTTCTCTTTCTCTCTCTCTTTTTGGTGGTGTTGGAGATGGAACCCAGGGCCTCTTACATGCAAGGCAAGTGTTCTACCACTGAGCTACATCCCCAGCATATTTATTTATTTATTTATTTTTAAAAAATAAATGACAGTGAAATGCATTACAATTCTTATTACACATATACAGCACAATTTTTCATATCTCTGTTGTATATAAAGTATGTTCACACCAATTTGTGTCTTCATACATGTACTTTGGATAATGATGTCCATCACATTCCACCATCATTGCTAACCTCCTGCCCTCTTCCTTCCCCTCCCACCCCTCTGCCCTATCTAGAGTTAGTCTATTCCTCCCACGTCCCCCCTCCCAACCTAACTATGAGTCAGTCACCTTATATCAGAGAAAACATTTGGAATTTGTTTTTTTGAGATTGGCTAACTTCACTGAGCATTATCTTCTCCAACTCCTTCTATTTACCTGCAGATGCCATGATTTTATTCTCTTTTATTCCCAGCCTTTTTATTTTTGAGGCAAGATCTTGGTAAATTGCCCAGGCTGGCCCCAAACTTTCAATCCTCTTGCTTCAGCCTCCCAAGTTGCTGGGATTACAAGGCATGTTCCACTGTGCCTGCTCATTTATAAAATAATCTCCTACCATCGCTCTCTCAGCGTGAGTCATGGGAACACTAATTATGTGCTGAGGTAATAGGTCTGCTTTTGGGGCAGTTGTCTGTCCACATGAGGCTCAGGGTGGCTGTAGTGCTCTACTTTCCCTAATAGAGTCCTGGGATTCGAGCTGGGAAGAGCCTACTCCAATGGAGAGCTGAATTTTGAAGCCAGCCCAGGAATGTCTATTCCTTTCAGAGGAGACAATAGGGCATAGTTTTATCTGGACTAGAACCCAGTCTCTGGACTCACACTCAGTCACATCACAGAGATGTGAAGTCTTCTGCTAGAAAAACACCCATCTCTCTTTTCCAGAGGCCAAGAGGGAAGAGATGGTGGCTCTGTATTTTCTCAGTCATGGAATAAAAGGCATTCTTAAGTTCAAAGTTCAAGCTTGTGATCCTGCCCTAAAATGAACTGTGTCATTCCTTCTTCTCATTCTAAGTCTACAACAGCTCCAAAGAAAATCCAGAGTGGCATGGAGCATGGCACTGGTGAGAGGCACATCCTTGGCCTGTGTCTGCCCTGCATCCCAGGGATGGCCTACTGGATTCCACAGGTGGATGTGCAGGTGGTTTGAGAAGAAAATCAGACAGTGAGTGTGTGAGGGAACTTGTAGGGAACCAACCCAGGAAGGGGTTGAAATTGCTCTTTTTCCAAGGACACAGGTCATCCCATCCCATGAGCAGTTCCTTGGATCGGTTTTGGTTACAGCAGTCTAATATCCAGTTCTTTCTAAGGTGACAATTGGTCGAATACAAATATTAAACCATTGTCAACAACTGACACCTTAACAAATAACCTTCCTTTACCCAGGTGGGGACGAAGGAGCACCACAAGCCCCTCTGGGCCATTTGAGAGCACACTGCTATTGCTCAAGTTCATGGAGGCGGACGGTACAAAGGGAGGACTGAGGGGACCAGAAAAGCATAGCTCATGAAATATAAAGGCTCTCAACAGGCAGATGCTGTATTAGGAACACAGCAGAGTGTGTCCCTCAGAATGTTAGGTAACATTAAAGTCCATGCAAATTCAGAGTAAAAGTAAAACTCTCACATTAAAATCTACATGACTCTAGAAATACCTGTTTACACAGGGTTAAAAAGTTCTACATATTATGCCAGCCTGGTAAGCCAGGGTATATTTAGTGCTTGTTTTCCCTTTCAAATTACATAAAGAACCACTCTGAAGTGCAGCTGCTAGTTATTAATGTGCTTAAAATTAGCAAAATTATGAGTAAATGGAAGTCAACAAATACTGCAAGATATTAAATGCTCAGTTCTATTTAAACTTGCTCCCAACAAGGGTAAGTAGGTGGAACAGATGATTTTGTGTGTCACTCATAACCCTTCTGCCCTTTTATCTCTGGGGCTCAAATTTCCATATGGGGTAAAAATTCAAGACAAAAATCCCTTCCCTACTTCCCAACACCTTTCAGTGGTAGTCACCAAATGAGTTAAGGCGGCAGGGATTAGCCCAACAAGAAATGCTCAGTGTAGGACATGATATCACCAAGCTGCCGCCTTTCACAGGAAAGCTAAAGGAGAAGGTGCTGCAGAGGGCAGCCTTTTCTCCTTCTTCCCATGGAGCCCATGGGCTCATTGAGCCTCTACAACCATGCTGCCTCGCTGGGCCATGACCACGTGCGTGGCCAGATATCTGGGGCTGCGCTCCTTGAATGCCAACCTCTAGAAGGCAGGGCTAGCTCTGACATGCTCACGCAGGCAGGACACAAGGAAGGGCTCTTTTTATTTCTGCAGAGGTCAGAAAAGAAGTGCAAAGAAACAAAAGAACAACTCCAGGTAGAAGGATACCACAGGAGTAATGGAATTCAGAAAAGAAATTCTCCCTTTCTGGCCCAACATGGGGAGAAGAGAAGAGACAAAGGTGAGGGGCATGTTAAGTTACTACCAAGAGCTTTATTTTAGACTCTGATGGTAGAAAAGTGATCATTACATGTTTGAATTTGATTCACTGGGGGTAACTTCCTGGAGCAAAGAAAAAATAGAGAACTTGTATGGGGATGGGATGCAGGGGGAAGATGGCATGCTCCTACTGGGGGTGACAGGGGAGAAGCTGGAATGGGCTGCTGAGCAGGACAGAGACACGGAGGAACATCTGGGTACGAGAGCTCAAGAGGGCAGGATGAGGCTCAGTGGGACAGCGTTTGCCTGGCTGTGTGAGACCCTGGGTTCCATCTCCAGCACCGCCAAAAAGAAAAAGAAGGACTGGGGATGTGGCTCAAGCGGTAACTCACTCGCTTGACATGCACGGGGTGCTGGGTTCGATCCTCAGCACCACATAAAATAAAGATGTGTCCACTGAAAAACTGAAAAATAAATATTAAAAATTTCTCTCTCTCTTTAAAAAAAAAAGAAAGAAAAAGAAGTTAGGTCTGGCAAGAGATTTAGAAAATACAGCTGCAGAGAAGGAGAAGGAATGTGGGTTTGATGCACAAAGTGGTATAAAAGCTGCAGCAGAATTTGTAGAAGGAGAAAGGACAGAGGGGGCAGTGGTCACAGCAGTGTGTTTGACGCACCATCAGGAACACAGGTCCTATAATAGGTGTCTGTGGGGCTGAGCAAGGGCTGTCAGGGGAAGAACAGGACTCTGGAGTGGACTTGGACTGAGAGAAGAGAGAGGAAAATACCAAATTTATATCTGAAGCCTCAGAATATGGCTCTTCCTGAAACTAGAATTTTGTGAGGTCACAGAACAGACACAGTATATGTGAAATAAAGGCAAGAACATGGAAGCAGCCATATTTATAAGCCTTTTCCTTAAATAATGGTTGTTAACAGCGTGAAGGAACACATAAAGGTGTCAACAAACAGGGGACAATATCCATACAGCCTGGGGGAGACCCAGGACAACTACTCGACTCCTCTGGGTTCTCAGGGTGGCTGTGGGGGCAGGGAATACAGCTCTTAAGAAGAAACTGATCTAGTGTTAGCAAAATTTGCACAATCTAAACATCAGCTGTGCTGTTTGATAAGAATATAAATTCCCAGATTGTACCTTCAGACCTTAAATCCAGTGTCTTGGGCAAGGTCTAGGAGTCTGTTTTTAACAGGCATCCCAGGTGACTCTTGTGATCTGGGATTCCAGGAGTAGGGGTGAGTGTGGGAGGGGCTGATAAACTGATGCACCCTGATGCAGGGTTTGCTCTCAGCAAAACAACTGGTGGCTCTGTCTGGGACCCTGGGTCATCCAGCTGAAGCTAGGAGAACACTTACCATGCAACGACTTCATTCCTAAGGTGTAGGAAGGCCTCCGCAGCGGGAGAGACTTGGGGAGAGAAGGGTACGTGCTGCTGAAGAGGACATCGTTGGGCAGGGCTTGGTCCAGAAGTGAAGCCCTGGAGGTGAAAAAGTGCTCCCTCTGGCCACTGTAAATGCTCTCGTCAGACAGAGTTCTGTGCAAAGCCCGCCTTGAGGTGGGAGTGCTGGGGAAAGGAGACTGAGGGGAGGACAGCGCGTGGAACTGTAAAACAGTGAATACAGGAAAGTCAACGTCTGGCTCAGACACCAGAACCCCTCATTTATTCCTCTGTCTTTGAGGAGTAAAAGGAGTCGCCAGTCATTGATTTCCTAAAGCCCAGAAGGCTGCCACATCATATCAATACTCCATGTGTGATTCAGACCTATGACTAACTGGATTAATTAACATGGTGTGGTGGTCAAGAACAAGACTTTAGGACCAGAGTAATGCGAATCTTATTTGCGCCCTGTTTCTTTTACCAGATCATGGAATTTCCCTGAGCCCAATTCCTCATCTATAAAATGGCAGCACAACACCTGTTGGGATTGTCAAGTGCATTAGGTGGGGCCCTGAACTGATCACAATGGCACGTATCAGGCCTGTTATGGTCTCCTGTGGGCAGAGCCACCGTGCCAGGAAGAACAGCTTCAAAAGCTTGTCAAGTGATAGCTGGGCAATAAGAGTGTGTAACCATCCAAATTTTATTAACTGAGACCATCGGTGGGTCCTGATAAACACTAACTACCAACAAGCTATACTAATCCAATCTCTCAAGCTAGATGGATTTCAGGAGGTTTGGAAATTAGTTTTTGAAGACATATTTCTATTAATAACAGAAGTTGGCTTTATAAATAACAAATATTTTTACATCAATGGCATAGTTCCAGGCAGGTGTGTCTCTTATGGATGCCTTTTGCCTTGTTGGCCAAATTTGATTTTACCTGAGATCTTTCCACAATTAGCTAAATTTTTGAGAATCCCTTTCATTGAGAAATACAGACACATTAAGAATGTTTAAATACTCAGTAACCTGAAAGCAAATGGAGCATCTGGCCTGACAATAACAAGTCATCCTCAATAGCTCCTCCTAGGACACTGTTCACCTTGACAGGGGAGCAAGGTGGAGTGAAGATGTGAGGAGGAGGGCCGAGTCACCCCTGGCAGAAAGCCACAATGGGACTTTCCATGACACTTTGACAGGGCAGAGAGAGGATGATTTAGTGACAGCTCCATTCAGGTGGCTGATGCTACAGACCCAGAAGTACAGAACGGACACTCAGGTTCCCTCGGGAGGTCTGGAGCCTGGCACACTTCCACTCAACAAGCCAAGGGTTAATCAAGTCAGAGCTGCCCCCAGGGTGCTGTGCACAGCTGCTGCACAAATTATTAATCAAACACACTGTAAATAAGCTCAAGGTGTTACCAACTGGATAAAAATGGTGTTCATTTTTAAAAATTCAGGATGAGTTGTTTTAGCACTTTGGTTTTAGCAAAGGAATTTCCAAGTATTTTTTCCACCCTGAGGGTTTTACAGAAGGAAAATTCTCCAACAATTCTAGTTTCAGTCTCTTTGGGAAATAATATACTTCAAGATCCTTCAGGCAGTGTGTTTTATTAGAAGCTAAAGCTGAAGGAGCAAGGGTTGGAGGTAGGGAAACACCTGCCCAGATGCTCTTTGCCCATTAAAAGATAGCAGACTTAGTCTTGTCCAAAACCGTTGGGATGGCCCCTCACTTCATCCTTCTTCAACTCCAGTCTAAAAGTATACAAAACTGCCCATTCCCAAGAATGCCTGGTCTGCTTTGTCCAGGGCCACTGCCAAGTACTGCCAGCCCTTGGCAAACAATCACAGTGATTTCACAGAGCATCCAGGTGGGAGGAAGGGGTTCCCAAACTGTGTTCCAAGGAGCCATGAGGTTCCTTACAGCACTACTGCTAGGCAAAGAGGTCTGGGTGGGACAGGAACCAAGCCATCCCCACCTCTCCTCTCAGAGCTCAGTTCTACATATTGGCTTTCTCTGTGTGATTCTGTTTTTAAAAAGGACTCCAGAACTTTAATACCTTTTGGAGGCTACTTATCTGTAAATCTGGTCCTCTGTTCCACAGCAGAGGGATAGAACCTAGAGAGGTGACACTTTGCTTCTGGCAAATCTCCTGTTTTAGTCTCTCACTCTTCTAGTGCTCCCCACCCCCCAGCTGTCAGTGACATGTGTCACCTGTACTCACAATAAGCTGGTAACAGCTCTTCCTAAACTGGCTTCAAGCAGAGCCCCTTCCTTTGCTCTATATACCTGGGAGCACTGGTTAGAAAGGTCTGTATATCTGCCTGACCATAAGCACACTCAGAGAAGCAAGGCTTGTGAGTGAGGTTTCTTATAACGCTACAGCTCAACCAGCAGGAGCTTGATGGCAGCTGCGTGGGAAAGCTCAGCTATGGCCTGTTGTCCGCGTCACACTCTACTGGCAGGCAAACCTGGGAGTGAGAGCTGCTAGGTACATGGACCTTCAAGAAAACCACTGTGGCGTTTTGAGTGGGTTCCAAGTCTCACAGCCCAAAGCTGGTCTCCTAAGACCCTGAAGCCCATTACAAAGGCTTGCAGCCTGGGATCAGCGGTGGTCCGGAAGACCAGACCAGGGCACACTGGCCTCACTGACACAGCAGAGCCTGTCACTCAGACAATGACCTCAGAAGACACAGGGAGCAACTTAGCAGAACTCATCTGAAACTGAACCAGCTCAAAAAAGATGAAACCAGTGAGAGAAGAGAGAAAGTGAGCCTGTCCCAGCCCTGCTCCCAGCCCCTCCCTGCAGTGGGCTGGGGCCAGCCTCAGCACTTTCTTTGCAGCAGTCTCACATGAATACAGTCACAACACAAAGACAGGATACCTCTGCTTCAAATAGGAATGCTAAAGTAATTTACTTTGGAAATAAAAGCCAAGAACTAGAATAAGAGCAAAACAGACATTTGCCTTCAATTATTTCCACTGCAAGAATAAATCAAAAGAATGAGAGCTCTGAGGTTGCTCCTTGCCAAAAATGTTGAACTAGGAATTAGGGGAAAGATTCCTTTCAGGGTAGATTTTATTTTCCTCTGACCTTAGGGGAAAAAAAAAAAAAAGAAAGAAAGAAACTTTTATTTTGAAACTGATATTTAAAAATTTTAATATACTTTCTTGAATTTTGATGGATAAAGACAGAGAAGCACTATCTTTTGCATAGTTTCCATGGAAACCATTTGTACCCTGGATGATGAGTCAGAACTGCTAAGTGCTGACTTCTGAAACAAATGACAGAAGTCAAAATGGTTACATCTGTGACACAATTTAGTAACATAATAAATCATGTTAATAAATCATTAATTTCTGAGCAAAACTCCTGAATGGTCCTTGGGATACATTTTATTCCTGTAAATGTTGATTTTTAAGTTTAGGAGGTACAGCTGACCATTCTGGGAGAGATGTTTGTGTGTGTGTGCACACAGAGGTGATGGGAGAGCCCAGAGGCAGTGAGAGCGCAGGGCTCCTTCTACCTGGGCACCTCAGATCACAGTGTGACGCTGTCGAGTGGGTAAGAAAATAGTCTAGCTTCCATCTTGCATTCATTCTCCAAGTTCTTCTGAAATAAAAGCTTTCTAGTCCCTTCAAACAGACTACAAATCAATGAACTAAGAACCTCAAAAACAGAAACCTTCAAAGTTTACTGCCATGACTTTCTGGGGGCTCCCCAGTATACCCCATAATAGACCTCAGGTCCAGCTCAATAAACACCAACTCCAAACCCTGCAGCATGAGATCGCAAGCTTCAGAGGATAAAGAAGCAGGGTGCCTGCAGGAAGCTGTGCCACTAGTCCTGTGAGCTGAGGCAAAAGGCAAACCTTGCTGTGTGGTTCTACAGAGGCCTGGGCACTGACAAACCCAAATGCCGAACAAGCACACAGGATTGGTGAAGAGGGAGACTGGGCTTTAGGGAAGGCACTGATGGTCTGGAATCCTGAGAGAGAAACAGAAGCATTTACAAAGTACAGAGACCTGGAAAGTTCTGGAGGCAAGTATGTATACTTAGTTGGCTGGATGGAGAGGCAGTTGTCTGTTTTCTTTTGGTGCATGCTGATGACAGTGACCACCAGGCACTTCCTCTGGTACTATGTGTGCCCAGCTGGTTAACTGGCCCATCTGTGAGGTAAGAACCTCATGGCCAGAAGGCACTGAAACCTCTATGGAGAATTTTCTAGCTGACAAGGGACCTATAGGTTTCTCTGAAAAGTTCTGTGAAGTAGCATCATGTAGTCGAAGACCGAGGGATTATGCACTTTGAGTAGGGCACACTAGAAGAAAAAGCTGATGGCGGGTAGAGTAGGTAAACAGGAGCCAAGACTTCAGAGATGGCTGTGGCAGTCAAATCGGGAAAATACCTGGGAAAACTGGGAAGGGGGATCCAGAGAAGAGGAACCAGCAATCAAACTCTAGGGTAGCTGTAACTAAGGCTACAGCCCCCTCAAATTTGACTTCTAATTCCCATCCACCCCATGCTCTGTCTCATACCTTAAAATTCTTCTGGGATTCAGGAGTTGGGCTTTCAAGGTCGATGAGCTTCTTTAGATCCTCCTCAATGGTGGACTTGGAGGTTGGCTTGGGGGACGCCCGGAGGTCCCTGGTTGAGGCCCGCAGCCTGGTGTGGGCTATTTCACTGCCATCACTCTGATGGCGTCTGGGAAGAAGGAGAGAGATGTGGAAACATGGTCAACAGGCCAACCTAGCCATGGTGGGCTCTGAAGGCTGAAAGAAATACTAAAGATGGGAGAAGAGAACCACTCCTGTTTACTTCAGAATGCATTCATGGGAATGAAAAACCAACTTGAAACACAAATTAAAGTCTGATGAATAAATCATTCTTCTTCAGGAAACTATTGGTTCTTCTGAGCCAAAATTAGCATCAGATTCACTAAGACCACAAATGCAACCTTCAAAGGAATAAAAGCAAAACTGAATGAACTATTTAATTTTTTACTGTACCACTGTGTAAAAAAGTCCTGTATTTCTGGGCACAGTGGCACACACCTGTAATCCCAGAGACTCTGGAGGTTGAAGCAGGAGGATCACAAGTTCCAGGACAACCTCAGCAAATTAACCTGTTGAGGCTAAGTTGAGAGCCTGTCCCAAAATAAAAAATAAAAAAAGGTTGGGAATGTAGCTCAGTAAAGCACGTCTGGGTTCAATCACCAGTACCAAAAAAAAAAAAAGAACTTTCTTCTCGGGGGTTCTCACTAACTTCCAATTTGCTGTACTGGCCCAGTTATGAAGAATTCCAGCCTGGCTTGGTGGCACACAGTAGAATCCTAGATACTTGGGAGGCTGAGGCAGGAAGACTGTAAGTTCAAAGCCAGCCTCAGCAACTTTGTAAGGCCTTAAGCAACTAGTTAGACCCTGTCTCAAAATTTAAAAAAGGGCTAGGAATGTGGCTCAGTGGTCAAGGGTCACTGGATTCAATCCCTGATACCTTAAAATAAAAAAGAACACATGGGAAGGCTGTGGTTAATGGAATCAAAACCACGAGTATAGACTGAGCACCAGTCAGTTATTCTGAAGAATACCCTTCAGATATGTTCTCTCCTAGGAGGGCTAAGACTCCCAAATTCAAATGTTCTGCAGTTCATCTTATTCAAGGAATGAGGCAGAAAAATAATTTAAGAAAAATAAAATCCACCCACCAAACATGCTCTCTATACCCCTAGCTTGATCTCCTCTACTCTAAGAAATCCCCCCACCTTTCCCATTCTCTGCCATGTTGAAAGAAAACCACTGAGCAAGAGAAGCAGGCCTCTTACTTTCTTGTGTCCATGAATCCCACAGAGTTAATGGTTCCTTCAGGTTTTTTCCATCCAATCAAGTACTTGCTCGTAGCGCCCTGGCGAGGGTAGAACGTCCTAGGACCGGAGGAAGAGGAGGAGGAAGAGGAGAAGGAAGGTGCGAGCTGTGAGGCGCTGGCGGGGTGAAGCTCCTCCTTTGGTGAACTTCGGGCACTGGAGAACACAACCGGGCTGGCAGAGTGCCGGGAGCTCATGGTACTGTGGAGCAGGACAGAGATAAAACTACTTAAGAGTGCATCCCAGGGCCACTCTGCCAACACAGAAGTGGAGTCAAGGTTGGGGTGGTGGCAGGGTGAAAGCACCATAAAGGTTTCATAAAATATTAATGGGGCTGGCTGGCTGGCCTTCCTTGCCTTCTCACTAGAATTTAAATGTCTACTCAGAGGGACAAATGGTTACTGAGGCTTGACATATACTTAAGCTAAAAAACAAAAACAGTTGAGACCATCAAATCCAAAAGTGGCAAATGACATCAGGAAGGGCTGGGCAGGTCTGGTGGTGTCAGGGGCTGACTGGAACACACTGAACTCTCCTTTCCCATGGCATCTGGCCTTGATGTTGACTCTAAAAACTCTTTATCACCAAAGTACTTCAGACTGGTTAAACATCACAAAAGTAAAATTTACAGAAATAAAGGAGTCCCAAACTCAGAGGTTCCAAAGGAGCTTCAAAACTGAAAGAGGCAGAATTTTCAAAACCAGGGATAAGAACTGAACATTACTACAAATGCGGATCCCACACCTCCTTCCCAGTGATCTCACAGTACCCAGATTTACAGTTTGAGCCCAGCTAAGTTCTCCAGCATAGGAAACCAAGGACAGGTGACTTGTACCATCATGGGCTTTGGGTTGCTTGAGGTGTAATTAATAGCAGGTGGTCCCGAAACATTCTTCGGTGGCACTTCCATTTGTCAAAAGCTAATGGTCCTGATCTGAATAAACATGAACCTTGTTAATAATGTATCAATATTGATTGCTCAGCCATGATAAATGCACTATAGTGATGTGAGGATGACGACGGGGATGTGGTGAGATGCACACGGGAAGTCTAGACTGCCTCTGCAACTTTCCTGTAAATCTGAACCTATTCTAATATCTAAAAACTTATTATGCATATCCAATAACAGGCTCCTGTCCAACTTACAACTACACTCCTAGGACTCAACAAGACAACGCAGTAGAAAGATGGCAATGATTTGAAGAGCAACTTCAAGAGGGGATGTCTAACAAACCTATAAACACTGGTGCTCAACATCATCAATTACCAGGAAAAGGCAAATTAAATCCACAAGGGACCACTACATACCCCCAAGAATGGCTAAATTAAGAAAGGATGCCAGAAAGGATGCGACACAACTAGGCCTCTCGTATACCATTGAGTGGAATGTTCCCTGCTACAGCCACTTTGGCAAACGAGTTCACAGCCTCTACACTGAAGGTATGTACATCTGACCACGTAGCACTTACTCTCTATAAACTTAGAAAAAAATCATACAAATGTCTAGCATAGGACATGTCTGAGAATTTGTAAAATCCCCCACCTAAAAACGAAAATGATCCAAGTGTTCATCAACAGCAGAATGGGTAAACGAACTGTAAAAATGTCCTCATAATATAAATGTAAAAGAGCAAAGGAAACAAATGCTACCCATGACACACAGATAAATCTCACCAACATGCTGACTTAAAGACACCAGACACAGAATAACATGTACAAAATGATTCTATTTGTATAAAGTCCAAAATATCAGCAAAACAAGTCCATGATTTCTGATTGAACACTGTGCTTACCCTGGGGAGGAAGCAGAGTGCCTGGGGATGGAACAGGGACAGTGCGGTGTGTGGGGGTTGGTGATGTTCTAGTTTGTGATGTGGATAATAATTGGGTGGGTGGGTACACTTTGAAAATTCAACTGTATACACTTATCATCTTTTTCTGTATGAATGGTATCCTTCCATGAAAACCTACCTGCAAAAAGTCAATAACCTGAAAGGAGTCCAGGAGGCTAAGCCCACAGAAGGGCAAGACGTGGGGGAAGCAAAGCCCATCTGGAGGGCTTTCCATACTAATGGACTCTTATTATCTCAGACCAAATATAATTACCTCCTTTATTTTTATAACTAACAGGGAAGAACTGGGCTGAAACTTAAAACACAATTTTTAAGAAACAGCTAGTCTCACCCTGTCCCCACCCCCCAAATATTATTCCAGCTAGATAAAGTAGAAGAAAACCTCACAAAACCTCAAAGGGCAACATAAATTGAAAAGCGATGCAACCTTACCTCTTGAAAATGAATATCCCATCTGTTTGCTTTTAAACTTAAGAAAAGGAAATGCAAAACTCTTCCACAAGTGCAGTGTATTAAGTCAGTAAGGAAAAATAATACTAGATTTCTATTATGGAAGAGACTCAAAGTAGAAAGATGAACCAAAAGAAAAAAGAATGAAGAGACTGACAAGCTCACAGAGTGGTCCTGAGTCACCAGAGACCCCAAGTACACATTAGCAGGGGAATATCTCCAGAGAGACTTTGGAAACAGAGTGCAGCCTTGGGCATAATTTAAAACAAAGGGCAGGCTTGTGACAAATATATGTTACTCAGAGACAAGATTTAATCATTGCTTTGCAGATTTTTTTCCCCCATTTTATCTACACTTGTAGATAGAGAGATGCCTCAATCCCCAGCCCTGGTTGGTGTTTGAAGCAATTCTGTGAAAATGAAAAATGGTGGATCAGGATCTAACTTACACAGCTCTCATCCTGGATGACCATGTACTTGTTTTAACTATCTATTATGACTGGCATCCATAAGTGAGAGCAGGTATGTTTAAATTGCTAGAGCCAGTTCCCAACTTCAACATGTTAAAATACAGACTGCTGCCCCCTCCAGAGGTTCTGACTCAGTAGGTGGGATAGGTTGGAGGGGGCCTGAGAATTCACACTTCTAGTGCATTGTTTCCAGGGCATACTTTGAAAACTGCTATTCCAGAGGTATATTTAATTGCCAGATTTCACATTGATCAACATCAAATTATCTTGATATGATAACACTAGTATTCAAAAGTCCTGGGGCTTTCAAAGACTAAATGCTTGGTCAAAACATTGGCCAGGAGAACAGAAAGTATAATGCCCAGCCCATTAGTTTACAAATGATTCCTTCATGTGGTACAAAACAGCTCTGCTGGTTTTAGCAATAATATATGTATTGCAGAAAAGGAGAGTTAAAGAGCAGACTTGGAAAGGTCCAAGGAGACAGCAGTATATACACTATAGTTTTTGGAGCTCTTTCTGTTCTACATAAATTTAATTATTATCATTATTTCCCTAATAGGCATTCAATAAATGCTTGTGCTTGATTATATACTCTTCAGTGGCAAGAATTTATTAATTCAAGGAACACATGAGATTACCATTAAATATTTGTTGAGCTAAGTGTTTCTCCTTACCATTTGTTACTAAGCAGAGTACTCTACATTTAATTTCTTTACTTTGGTTATAGTCTGTCTCCCCTGTTTGAAGGGAGATTCCTGAGATTTTTCCTGTCTTGTTCATTAGTACATTGCCCATGCCTAGAAAAGTCCCTAGCAACTGCAGGCATTCAATGTATGATGTAAGAAACTGCCAAATAAATGATATGTTAGCAATCAGGTTTTATGGGGAGGGGGGGGTTCTGGGAATCAAACTCAGGGGAGCTCTGCTATGGAGTTACATCCCCAGTCCTTTTTATTTTTTGAGACAAGGCCTTGCTGAGTTGCTAAGGCTGGCTTAGAACTTGTGATCCTCCTGCCTCCGCCTCCTGGGCTGCTGGGATTTTAGGTGTGTGCCACCATGCCCATCAGAAGTCAATCTTTAAATATAAGGATGTATTATGCATGCAGATGGTGTATTTTACTCATAACTGTATTTAAAACTAGATGTTGCTTTATTTTTATTGTGAGAAACAAATCTATAAATGATGCTTCTGTTTACAAGTGTATAAGTACTTAAATAAGACCACGGAACCTGGCCACCGGTTTTATCTATGAACATGATGGCTGATACTAGCTCCCAGGTGTGACATGCCAGCACACTTCTGTTACTAATACTTAGACAGGTCTATTTAACAACTGATTAGATTTGTGAACAAAGGCACATGTAAAAACAAATGAACAATTAGTTGGTGTGGCTTCCTTCTTAATATATACAATTCATGGCATGAGAGGAGCACACAGTAGGCAGATGAACTTCACCTGGGAGCTCTTCTGAACAGTGCACTCTTGTGCCCTAATCCCAAAGATGTTGATGCAATACAGCTGGGGAGGTACCTAGAAACTGGACAAAATCTCTCCCCAGGTATGAATGCTAATTGAGGATTACTGCTCGAATCCAGCTGAACCCTTCCTATTGTTATGACTTGGTCAAAATCCAGCTTCCTACTTCTCTGGGTCCAGCAGGTGAAGCCATGGGAACAGTGTTTCTGAAGGCATGGACTGTGGTGTCTGCAGGTGATGATGTACATGCAGGGCCCTTAGCTAATGTCAGATCTTCTAAAGCCCCAGAAATCTGTATTTTCAAATGTCTCTGAAGGAATCTCATGTTTCCTAGTGTTTAAGAGCTACTACATTAGCCTGTAAACTTCTCACGCTCTTGGGTCTTTTTCCTCTTCCTCCTGTGGTTCCATCCTTGGTCAGCTGTGGGTGGGCCTTCCTGAAGCTGACAACCCTACAGCCTCTAGATCACCTCAAGGTGTGTACCCACACATTGCACCTAAGTTTCTTTGAAATGGGTTTAGTTACACTACAATAGACATGAGGTTGACAGCTCCCTGATTTTTAAGGGGAACTGTCACTGGGCTGTTTGATTATCCTGGAGATTTCATGTTAACTCAATATGCTGCAATTCTATTACCCATGATGACTTTCTTGGAATTGTGTAAGAAGGTAATGAACCAATAATATGGAATAAAAAGAGCAAAACTTATATTGGAAGTGACAACTGCAATACTTGTTCCTTTTCTTACTGTGTAAAAAGTGAGTTTTAAGTGTGTATGGCCAAACTAAATCACCAAGAATTCAAGCCAGGGTGTCCCTAGATTCTACATGAGGAGACCATGACTTTAATTTTATATAAATTATAAGGGTACTTTCCCTTGCCTAAAAATGGAATGACTGTGGATTCTGTTTGGCCATTCCAGGATTTTTTAAAAGTAAGGGCACACA